ATATACTGCTTACACAATTAGACCATTTCACCCAATAAAATATAACTCTGCATCACATACAGTTTAATAGCATTCTGTGATGCCAGTCTAGTCTTGGAGGCATTCTCATTTTTACAAAGCTGAATTATGTCATTTTTTTTTATATTCCGCAATCGTTTAAAAAATGATTGTGAAGGGAGAAAAAAATATGCTTTGTGGAACATGGGTAAAATTGATTTTAAAATATGAGAAAAGCTCTGTCTAAAAATAAACTTAGGAGGATTTATGAAATTTCTGTAGAGAAAATTGTAGTACCTAATCCCAATATTGGACTTTGGATAAGATTGCATTCCCTCCCTCCCCTTTATGGAAAATAGCCTAGCAAAGGTAGGGGTAGCCTCATCTTTCCTAATTTCTTAGTTCATCAAATAAATATTTACCAGGCACTAATTCTGTACTTGGCCTTAGACCAAATCCTCCTGGCATTTGCAGTTGTCTTGCACAGTGGGGTGTGGGGGTGGGGGTGGCAGGAAAGGAAAGGGCTTGAAGGTTATCAATACAGGTATTATTGTTTTGTGATACTTTCCAAAGAGATAGAAAATCATTTCTATATATTTCTATTTACCAATAGAACTTTTTAAAAAAAGAGATGTTTAAAGAAGGTGAGTGATGTTATGATAGGGAATAGCACATGACATTTAAAACTCAGGAAATAAAAGCTTGGGATATGGCCTCACTGCTGCACCATGAAGTGGCAATGGAGATTTAGTTAGCAGCAACATATGGGAGAAGCAGCTAAATGGCAGCCCTTGAACTTATTTCTTTTCTGACCTTTTGAAGTTGCCAGGTTCAACTAATTTTCTTCTCATGGTTACATCTGAAGCGGGTTCCAGAGGCAGGAACCAACTATTCAGCAGAAATAGATTGAGCATCCCAACTTTCTGTGAGAATGAGAGGAGAACGACTAATAGCCCTTTGGTTAATTAAGCCTCAGAAAATCAGATGCTGGCATTTTACCATCAAAAATTGTTCAGCTTCATAACAGTACACTTATGGGATTCTGGGGAGCAATTCCCAGCACCACAGATAACATATCTTAAAGACTAATCAATACACAAATACACAAATCAGTCAAGTTATCAAAGGCAGATGAAATGGCAAAGGAAATACCACAAAATTCTCATATTTGAACCAATAAAGAGTTAGTTACCTGGTCATATTTTCAAGAAGCTGGGTGTGTGTTTGTGTGTATGTGTGTGTGTGTGTGTGTGCATATGTGTGTGTAACACATAACAGATATCAACAATAATCTCCTTTTTGGTTAATGCCTACATCCTCTAAGAGATGTATGATATACTCAAGTCAGGAGTTTCTTCTGAATTAAAAAGCAAATCTAGCCCCATTATTGAATGCCAACAATACTGAATGCAAACTGCAAAAAGCAAACTGTATTTTTATTCTCTGATTCACTGAATGACTTTGAAACAAATAATAAAATCATTGAAACTAATATTAGCAGCAATGCTGAACACAATATCTTTATAAGAAAGTCTTGGGACCTTTAAATTGCACCTATAATTGAAAGGGTACTCTGATTCTACTTGTTCATCGATTTGTCAAACACAAAACTTTTCTGACGAAAATATAAATTGAGTGTCAATTTATCCATTGAAAGCTTTTGGTTTTGCATGGAAAACTTGTTCAAATTAGAATGTTGATAAAGCCGTGAAGTGCGGAAACTTGAGTAGAAAAATGAAGATTGTTTTCCTTTAAAACATTAATTTATTTATATTGAGAAGGTTTTCTGAACAGTTATTGAAGTGTGAACTCTAACCCTTTTAGTATGTGCATGCTCCTTTTCCCCACCAATAAACAAGGAAAAGAACCTGGAAAGCAAAGCCCAGAGGTACAATTTCTTGAGTACAATCATTATATTCTTAGTCTTTGAAGTTGCCTTGCTTTGCTCCAACAATCTGATCCTTCAGGCTAACAAGGAGTATCAGACCTTAAATCTCTGCATAATTTTCAGGAAATGTTACCTGATGAGAATATTCACAGATCAGTCTTTACAAATGCCCTCAAGTGGTCTACTCCTGGTGAGCAGATTTTATGTGGTATTTGTTTGTCCTGTTTGTTTATTGACATGGGTCAGGCTACCAGTGACACCTTAAACTGTGCTCACTTTCGCTACTAAATTGAGAAGTTGTATTAGATGAATGCTGTCTTGAACCTAGTTTTATAAAATACTCAAGAGTAATTTTCCAAGTGAAAGACTTCCTTGCCTTCATAGTTTATATGTGTATAGTTACTAAGTAAGTGGAGCTGCTCCTAGTGAGGGCTTCTCCAAAACGATCTGTTTGTTCTTCATCCACATTCACACAGCTATAAGAACTCAAGATATGCATCCGGACACCAGAAATGTAGCCAAGAAATGTTACAGAGTCCTGGATGCAGAGATTTACCCATCTGGAGTCTTGAGGGCTGGGGGAGACTACAAATTACAAAGCAGAAGCATTGATTTTAATTGTAATAATAATTAGAAACCTAAGATCCAATTTGCAGAGAGGAAAGATGAAAAAGTTTAAATGACAGCATTACAGCACGAATTTCAGAGATCATTAGCCAGTGTCTCTAAAATATCTGTCCTATTTATGACAGTCAGCAGATACTCATTTGGGTGGCATACTGAACAGACTAAGGAGGACAAACTGCTATTGAACAGTCCAGAATGAAGCAGTACCCTGGGTTGCTGGAAAGACTGTTTTCAGGAGGAATTATCTTCAACTCCTCACCCACTTCATAGTCCAGGGGGGGAAATATATATATCTCAAATATGATTTAAAATCCTGCAACTGCTCTAGCATGAAATGACTCTATGACAAGGGGATTCAAATCTGCTAAAGCAGAATTACAGAATATTATTATCGGTATTATTATTTAATAAGGGGGAGAGCCCTAGAATTTCTTTCAGAGCTCAGAGAAGTGGAAAATATGTCTGGACATGATGATTACGGAGAGCTCTTTTTAAGGAAAAAAAAATGTAACATTCACAAAACATCCTTCAGAGGTTTCAGTACTTTCACTAGAAGAATATCTAGAATATCTCTCTTTCTCTGTCTCTGTCTCTCTTGCACACACACACTCACTCCAGAAGAAATCTCTGTAAAACTGGACACAACTGATGAAAGGCGCTAGCCAGGAAGAGATTTCAGTGGTGTTTAGCATGAACGACAGGGCTCATTTTGCATGCAGTGAAGTACAGCGGGCGAGGCTGAATGGATGGAAAATCCCACTCTCAAATCTTACATAAATATCTGTTTCCCACATATAGTTTTCCAGTTCAAAAGCTGCTATAATGAAATCGGAGGTGACAACCCAAGGCGAATTTTTAACCATTGAGATGGCTGTCAGCTCTGTTATAGGGAGGACAGGCGCTTCAGTATGGCCCCAACCAACCCCAGTCCCCTTTCTATCTGCTTGGCGACGGTGCCCGATGCGAGAGGGCACAGCTCTCACATACCTTCTCCGGAGTCCCCTCCTTCCCATTGCCAGCCCACAAATACCGTGAAGCCCAGTGACAGAAAACAGCCGGCTGATCTGATTAGCAGCTCTGGCGCGCTAAGGGATTGTCGGATCTCGCCCCCTGAAGAGGAAACTCTTGTGGAATCTTCAGGAAACGGTGGTAAAGTTGAAAGGGCCTTTTCTCTCTCCTGCTCCTCTCGTTATAAGCTCTATCCTTTAATTGGAGCTGAAGTGAGCAGCTGCCAGCCTGATTTTCCATTACGGACAAATGTTGTGCGTTTGCAACAATAAACAATTAATGTTGTTTGATTTCTTACATTTAGCAACCCAAGCAAACAGCTGCCATCTCCGCTCGCGGAGGCAAACGACTGGTCCTTGACGTGCCGCGGCTCGGTGCCTGCGGGGAGGGTCAATGACCAGGAAACTTTGAGGCTTCTGCCAATTTGAATTGGGGAAGGCTTTGGTCTTGGGGAGGGAAGATGCGGAGGAAATTGTGGATACCTGTTGGCATCAGCGTTGGCGGCGGCACGTTTTCACTGTTTCCCAGCCTTGGCTGGAGCACGCAGAACGGGAGTAGATCCCTTATGAACCTGTTACGCGCTGGCAGAACCAGGAAAAAACCCTATCTTCCTCCAGTCCTGCGAGGGGCGCGGCCCGCCCCCCAAGGGTTCTCGGAGGAAGAGCCGCTAGATGACAGAAAACGCAGCTCCTGGCTCTGCGAGACGTAGGAGAGGAGCTATGGAGGAGTCCCCTGCTCAGGGGCCTCTGTGAGTGCAAGATCGCCGGCTGGGAGGCTAGTGGGGGATTCCTGGGGTCCTGCCTGGTTGCGGGGCAGCGTCTTGTCTAGGACACAACTACAAAACGGCTTCGGAGCCCGGGAGCCGGGTAAGTTTGCAGCTGGCACCGCGCCCCCCAGGCTAGAGCAGCCACTTGTGGGAAAGCCTCGCGCTGGGGCTTTCACAGCTGAGCCATGCCCCTCAGCCCCATTGCGGGGTTCGCCCTCCCTCGCCTTGGAGAGGAGGAAGTGCAGGAAACGAGAGAGAGGGCCCCTGGAGCCCCTCAGCCTCCTTTCCCTCGGGTTCGCACCTCTCAACGCCAGGCGGCGGGGGCTTCCCATTCACTGCACGGACCCCGCAGTGAAGGCGCGCGGCTGCAGCAGCGCCTGCCTGTGTCAGGAGGCGGCGAAATCGCCAGGAGACCGCAAGGAGGGAGACCGCCGGGAAAACTGGAGGGGCACAGCCTGTAGCTTGATATTCAGGATCTGCTGTCAGAGCAGTTTGCAAAAACCATCAGGCAAAACCCTTAGGCGTCCCTGTCAGCCATGGGTAAGGCGAAAGGAGACGCAGCTCTGTAGGTGTTGGGAGCTAGCAACCCGCATCCACCATCTGGGGGAAAGGAGGTGCGCAAGGTGTCCGAAGGGACACGGGAATTCCTAAAAGAAGCAATCCCTTCTGGTTCTTCGGGTATGAAGGAATACGTAGTGGGGGGGGAGTACTTACTCTTACGGGGCTCTGAGCTGGTGAATTTCAAGCCTCCTGGTTCACAAATGGCTTGAGGGGATCGGGGTCCGCTCTCCAGGGCGGCCAGTGCTGACCGGTCCCGGTGCACTGGGCAGGCGCCTCCAGATTCCGTTCATGCCTCTCGGAGCTGCGGAGCTTGGTGCGGAGACGCGGGGCAGGCGCGCTGGGCTCCGGGTGTCCGCAGCCCAAAGTGCAGCTGGCGGATGGACGCTACCGTCTATGCACAAACCGGTGGTGGCGGAGGAGCTTCGAGGAGGCAGGGAGATTCCAAATAAAATCCACTAATTCTGGGCTGAGCGCTTCGGCGTGCGAGCCCGCCTGCCTGCCAAATGTAACTGTGAAGTGATGTGGAAAAGTGAGCCGGGTGCCTCCCCTGACGGATCTCATTGGGCAGAGCGCAGAGGCAGGTCTACCACTTGGAAATTCGTGTAAGCGGCCCCCCACCCCGCCCCCTCCCTGCTTTCCCCAGCTCTCTCGCGCGTTAGCTCTCCGCTCTCTTTCTCCCTACCAAGTGGACGCACAACTTTTCGCTCCTGGATGGCGAGCACGCCCAGCGCGTCTCCGCCGCCCGAACCACGGGGTGAAGGTGCGCCCTTCCATGCTGTGCGCACAGCCTGCCGAGGGCCAAGCTGTTGGATGAGAGGGCTGGCAGATAAGAAAAGAAAGCGGAGGAGGTACCCGCGAGCTTTCTCTCTCTAGGTCTCACCTGAGCTCTGAGGCCAGTGTTATCTTGAGAAGAATCTCAGGGATCCACAGCAGTGTTCCGAGGGAGAAAGAGGATGCGTCAAGGAAAAAGGATGCCTGTGGGCAGTTTACCTTCTTTTTATTCTGAGGGTCTCTTGCTTACAGAACAGAGTATTTCTAAGACCACTGCCTACCATTCAGACGCTACTGGTTTAATGGTTATGTATCATGGTCCTGGGGTGAGGCGCATTTCTGATGTCTTGGCGCTTGTACTCCTTTGGGAAGATGGGATGAGGGACAGCAGAGGGGCAGCCAGGAGGGGTGCGCAGTGAATGCTAAGACCAGGACTTGCTCTGGAAATAAGGGAGGGATTGCCAAGTCTCCTCAGTGCACACTAACCTGATCTCCTCTCAGGTACCATTCTTGCAACTCCACTCCCCCCACCAAGAGATGCACTGTTGGTGGTCCCTTCAAGTGCTCTTATAGACTCCACCATGTCTTGAGAAATGGCCACCCAAGTGTTGAGCCAGGGTAAGAAGAAGGGGTCGTGAATCAGGAGGTCCAGATTTCTTTTCATTACTGAGGTTATTACATAGAAACATTCAGTAGTTCAATAACAAAATTATCGAAATGTAATACAAATTTGTCCTTATGTCCAAAAAAAAAAAAAAAAAAAAACAAACAAACAAACAAAAAAAAACTCTTCCTCAGGAGAATCTGCATTAGTCCATTCCCTGCGCACTAGAGGTGAGCTCTGAGGATGATTTTTTTTTTTTTTTCACCTGGGGAGGGAGTGAAGTAGAAGGGGAAAAGAGTGTAGAGGATCAGATATACATAAGTGGAGTTTGTCCCATCTGACTCAAATTATTGAGAAAGAGTGAACAGAATGGGAAAATAAGCACAATACCCTGATAATATTTATGCAAATTTGACTTTCTGTGCTGCATCTCACTTCTCATTGTTAATGTGGAAAAGAATATTGACTGTAGGTCTGATACCTATTTGTTTCTCATTTTAGGTCTCATGGATAAGAAACAGCGACTTATTGTGTGTGTGTGTGTGTGTGTGTGTGTGTGTGTGGTGGGGGGGGGACCAGGAGGTATTTTCCCCCAAGCAGATATTAAGTAACTGTTCTTTTCTTAGACTGTATCTGCTTATAGGGTATTCTGAAATTGGCTAATGCTGTCTTGAGGGGGGGAAAAACAGCAGCCAAGGCTCAATCAAATTATAACTGATGTTAGACCAGACAGTCCCAAGTGGACAAAGAAATAGATCACATCTTAGGTTGCACTTAATTTTTAGACATTCATTTTCACTTGGAACAAATGGTCTGAACCTTTCCTTGGGGTACTTTCTTACATCTATGAGAAATAAAGAAAAGGTCATATGTTACTGAAGGCTGGGGATTGTCACAGGTAACAAACTCATTTCAAAAGAAAGCGAGAGAGTGTTAGAGAAATATACTCCAATCTCATTTTCTTAAAGGAAAATAAATAAAATGGTGCTGACAAAGAGTGTCAGAATCCAATGACTGTGGGTATCTTGGTTATAATGAGTTTGTTTTGACTCTTCCTATCTGTATTTACTGTTGGAGCAGCTAAGTACATATCTTCCTAGGCTTTTGGCCCTCTCAAATTTAAGGTAACCCTTTCTACATTTGCTAATCTCTGCTGGAAGCATTGCAGTAGGAATTTCCTGAAGAATTCTTCAGAGAGGTCTGGGTGATTAAGAAGTGTGAAAGAGGATTAGAATAATGTTAAAAAGTCCTACAAGGATCTTTCTAAAATAATCTGGGATGCTGAAAGACAAGGCATTTGTTTCTTTAACAATTCCACCCACTCTTAATAGGATGCAGTGTAATGCCACAATGGTGAGAGCCTACCCCCTTAAGAAATTGTTTTCTTTTCAACATCCGCCTAGGGTTACAGCCTTCCAGCTGGAAGAGGATTGTGCTACATAGGCTTTTTAGAATGGCTACAGAAATTTCATGTGTTGTGGAGCAATGAGCATTGCAGAGGAGGAAGGGTGAGGACTGATCTGATAGGGCAGGTATATCATTAGAAGGAGAGGTGAGGGAAGAGGGATAATTGCATTCAGAATAATCTTAGACCTGATGCAAAAAGTGGGATGAGACAGGATGTCTCCAGTCTGGATGGATCTCTGTGACAGACAGACAGTTATGCAGGGGTCTACTGTGGTTGAGAGTGGATGAGATGGAGAGACACTCCATGTAATAAAAGCATTTTCTTTCTCACCATGGCTAGAGGCTTTTTTTTTCCCCACAATTTTCACTAAGGGAGACAGTGTACCAATTGTTTATTAAGTTGGAGGGTGAATTAGAGAGGGGGGAGTCAGCTATCTTGTACTTCTGGAAGACTGTGGCAGAGCTAGAAGACTCCAACTTCACTATTTGCAGGAGGAAATGGTAGATTGGAACATTATCTATTATGTGATGCCTTAAACTGGATTTTTTTTTTTTTTGCAATTTTTATCCTTTAGCATATATTTAAAAACCATGGAAGTCTAAAAATAATATAAACCAAGAATTTTATCTACTATGGTATGAGTACTGAGAAATTTTAGGTTTAATGAATTACTTTTAAACTTAAGATGAACTAGTGAATTCATGGAACATCTTCCTGACTATATCAGGTGGGCCCAGGATTGTGAATTCATGAAGGAAGGCAATTTACAATTTGAGACCTGCCTAGGGTATTATTTAAAGTAGAAATCTCAAGAATCTGAGGTATGAAAAATGCCAAAACATAAATACAACACCAATGAATATGTAATATTTTATAGAAATGCAGAGACCTTTTCCCACATTTCATTAGGTTGAAGAAATCTGAAACTATGTTCTTTATTTGGAGTGGGAGGGTGAGAAGTAAATAATAACCTTGACATTGGGCATAAGAAAATTCATATTTCATTTTGAATTTTAATATTGGAGAACATATGAATGAAAAAATAAGAATGCAGTTTTGAGAAGTTTGCAAATGTTTGAATAAGTTGAAGATAGCTCTTTCTTTTGTTAAGTTTAGGAGTGTGTTTTAAACCAGCCTCCTCATACTAAAATCACTAAAAGATACAGTATTCAAATTGAGTGAAGGTGAATAGTTACAGGGATTTTTTTTTTTTTTTTAAGTCGGTGGTTCTCAATCTGTGATCCCTGTACCAGTTTCTGTCTCAGCATCTTCTGAAGATTTGTTAGAAATGCAAATTTTAGGCCTTGCATCTTAGTGTTGTTCAGAAATCTGGGTTTTAACAAATGCTCCAGGGAATTGTGTTGCTTGCTAAAGTTTGAGAACCACTGCCTTAGGCAATCTCCTACTCATGTGATACATGTAAAGACGAGGAGGAAGAAAAAATAAAGTGATATATGATATTAATATTTTTTTTTGCTCTGAAATATTCTAAGACAAAATGTTGTCTTAATAAAATAAAGAGCAAATTGTAAGTACACTAAATTTATCATGTGGTTACTTCACTAGTGTTTATTATAGGATTAAAAATAAATAAACTGACTTTTGTAGAGGTGATTATGAATTCTCGGGGGTAAAGTCATCACTGAGCTTGCTTTTCTGAGCTGTGAGCCTCTATATTCTTGGCTGCTGGTTGAAGCTGTCCCTGAAATTAGGCCTGTGTCTCTGAATATTGACTATAATTACTAATCTTGAGCTTCCCGTTATATTTTCTGTAAATGGAGGTGTAAACACTTTCTGAAAACCACAGCTGTACTGAGAGCATTTTGGAGAAGGTCTTCAAAAATGGCATTATCTCCCATCTTCCCAGGTGCTAGAAAAGAGATAAGCTCCAATTCATCTTCTAACAGAAACTGGGGGCAGGAGAGGAGGACAGATAGATTTAAGGGGACTGGTACAAAGCTATCAACTAAGCTAGTCTAGGTTTTGCGGACCTCACACTGAGCATTTTAGTTTTCTGTTTTCTATTTTTTTCTTCCCCCTGAAAGCAAACAGTAACTGGATTAAGATTTAACTTGGGAGGCAAGAAGTGGAAATTTCTTTTTTTTAAATCTCACCTTGTTTTCTAAAAACAGGAAAAAAAGGGAAAATAAAGAATATGAGAAAAAAAAAGACAAAAGGAGAGAGACCCCCCCAAATACTACTGTTTTGATATAACAGAATGCATTGAATATTAAAATATGATAATTAAATTTAATTGATTATAGGTTTCATTATAGAAGGTCTCATTGAAGATTGTCATTATTTGAAATTATAGACTCATGCTAAAGTATCAAAACAGACATGTAGGTGAATACAGATGTATGGGCGGTGCACAACAGTCTCTTAGGTGTAAAAGGGAGTTTATAGTTCTGATTAGTTATCAAGTTGTTATTACAGAGCAAACCACATATATATGCTTTTGACAAATGCTCCAAAAGGGTTGAAAGGAAATTACATTACAGAGAATAGGAACAGGATTTCTTTATCTGTCAAGACTGCATAATGCTGTCTAAGAATTTTTTTGTCCATTCGTTTATTACAGGTGCTGCCATGTGGAAAGCCGGCTACGGCTTTTCTGTTGCAGTCTCCTGCCTGCATAGGCTACTGGTCTTGTTAGATGGATATGGAGGCTTTTTTTCTTCTACCTCAAGTGCCCTCTAGCGTGCAATATCTGTGCAGGTTGCTATGTAGAAGGAGGTGAAAAGAAGTAAGAAAAAGAAATATGCCATCAATTGCTATCCTAATTTCTGAATTGCTCTGCTCTTCTTTTCTCCTTCCTCAAAGGGGTCATTTCCTCATAAGTATTTGGCAAAACAAAACAAAACAAAACAAAAAGTGCTGTTGCTTTTGCATGAAAAACAAATCGCTCATTTACTAAACTGGGAAACAAATGCTAATCCTTTCTCAGGGGCTTCTTTTGAACATTCATCACAATTTTTTCCAGAAGTTTCATACACTCTGGTAATCAGGCAAATAAAAGAAGGTAGGTTGCTCCCTAGGAGGAAATTCTGTTTTGTTCCTAACTCCACTACAGACCAACTATATGGCTTTTGATGCAAATTGATTAACCTCTCCATGGGTTTT